GAATTTTCAGAAGAGGCATATTCCAAAAGGAGAGAATCAAGCCCTTTTGTCTTGTTAGAACTGCTGTTCCCCAGAGAATCTCAAATCTACACAACTTTCTGTTCTTTTCTTTTCTCTGTCTTTTATACTGATTTTCAAAAATTCATATTTTCACAAAGTATGGTAAAATATCATACTACATAGAACAGAAAAATATCACCAAAAGAGGCAGACAAGAGCTACCTCCAAAAGTAAAACTAATTGAAAAAAAAATATCTAATTTGAGATAATTTTTAACCTCTCATGAAAGGTGGACTTAGTAACTCATACAAAATGATTGCTGCTATGTTGAATTATGGTTTTGTTTTGCTTTTTTAACCTTGAAAATATTAATTATTTGGATTTACAATGAAAATACTAAATCATTTTCCCATTTTGCCCATGATATAAGATTTAATAGTCCTAAATTTTCTGGAAATAGAGAGTCTTATGTTCTTTATATGCATTGCTGAAAGTAAATCTTAAGTTGTAGATCAAATTATAAATCTTGTAAGACAACAGTTGGTCAGAAAAGGAGATTTTGCATGACTATAGCATTACTTATTTCAAATTTAAATTCAGCTTTTATTTCTGTATAAACCACTTACAGTATGAAGTAGCAGCAAAAATAATTGTATGTTTGGGGGTCACTACTACTGAAAACCAGGTGCTCCCCATAGCTGCTTTCAGCTACTCAGCGCCAGCAATCATGTCATCACCAGCCACCAAATGAGACACATGGACCCTTTAAAAAGTCCCTGCTAAAGTCCCTGCTATCACAGCCCGTTAGCTCACTTTTTCTATCCTCTGTTGCTGCCCCTCCCACGTCCAGTAAATCTCTTGTGTGAAATCTGTTGCATGCTATAATTTGTCAGCATTTCTTGACCTCGATGGATCCATCAAGTTATACTTCCGCAAAAACCATTACAACCACAACATGAGGAACTGTATGTTAGGAGGGTTGAAGATCACAGAGCTAGAAGATGCTTCCTGTATGTAGTTGTGCAGTGATGAAGGAAGTTTCCTGTAGGCATGTATGTTGTGTGTATTGCATTTTCCCCAGCACCTGGAAGACTGTTTGTTGTAGGTATTTCTCAGAGTAACTTCATTAGAGATGCTATGAAGCTTTTTTAGGCCTAAGCAATCCATGTAAATAATAATTACTAACAAATGCGCACCACATAAATTATGATTTTGCTTCTTGGACCTTTTGTACTTCTTCATATACGACCACTCAGGCATTTCCATTATAGTTTCTAAGTTTTAGGATTGTATTTATGACACAATGAAGTTTCAAACAGTGTAAATTATCAGTTTAAAAAAAATCAAATGGCATTGATTTTTAGCTCTATTAATATAATTTCCTCTTAAAAAAGAGAGAAAATCATCTTCACCATTGTTTTGCACTAACACAAAGCTCTTGGTATACTTGGTAAGAAGCAGGTGCTAAAGTGCAAGAAACAGAAAAGGGATTATCAGGGATCTACCTGGCTGTCATGCTTTCATTTCCTCTATTTCAAGAAATATTTCTGTGGTTTTGTTTATAGTGGAAAACACAGTCGTCTATATACGAAGTAATTCTGAAAATGTCCTCATGTGTCAATCCAGTAACACATGCCCTCACAGCTCAGTTGCAAAAACATATTTAATATAAGCCAAAAAGAGTTTCGTTTGTGTGTTTGTTTTCATTTTTCTTTTTCGGATTGAGAAGACAGAGTGCTGAAGCACACGGCATCTATAACTGAACTCTGAGCTGGAACTATCTAGCTCTTTTTGGCAGCATGGGCATGGGAATTTAGTTCACCCTTGTGTGCCTTTATTCACTCTGGACCTTGTATAGCTCTTACAGGGTTTGATAAGGAGTAAATAGAAGACATATAGTGTTTCTGAATAGGTCCAGTCACATGACACTTCAGGTGTGTGTCTTCCTGGTTCCCCCCAGACTCACCACATCCCTCATTGTCTACTCTGCGTGGGAAGGGACAAGCATGTTCTGGCTTAGGCAGGCTCCATGGCCTTCTGACTTCCGGCTGAAATTTTAACTGGAGGGAAGTGGAAAGTGCAGGTACGGCGGTGGGAATGAGACAGGAGAAGCCTGTGGTTCAGTCCGTCTTCCTGGTGGTGGTTAGAGCCGGGACTCTGCATCCTCTTCCGGTCACAACATTCACAGACCCCAGGGTTAAATCCTTTGCTCCAGTGCCAGCTACTGAAGTCCTCTTCAAGCTCCACCAAACCCAAGGCTTCTTTACCCAACCAGGCCCAAGTGCTCCAATACTATTGCTGGTTCCTTCAGTGGTATTCACGGTCCTGTGACAGTTACCTCATTTAATTCTGTAACTACCTGACTCTACTAACTACTGCCTGCCTCTAGGGTTCCCGTGTAATAGAGTCTCAAATTATTTGATCTATTGTTTGACTGTTTACCTCAGATCCATAAAATATCATTAACAAAGGCAGAAATGGGCGATTCCAAACTTAAGTAAGTAGAGATTTAAGTAGACTCTACTTAAGTAGAGTCAGCTACATAACTTCTCTGTAACAGATGGTGTAAGTTTTCTATGAAGTGAAAGTGGGTGAGTGGAGGTGACTATATTCTTTTTGTAATATCATAAATATTAAAAAATCATTTCTGGGGAACTTGCACTGGGGTTTTTCACCTTTTGAGAAAGTATTGGAGATACATTCCTGGAATAAAAGATACTAGGACAGTGGTCACATAGTCAGTTCTAGTTCAACTGTTGATGGAGCCATAGTTCTGCAAAGGCCTGCTAATAAATGCATCAAGCTCTAGGAGTAACTGGGTGAATTGAGGGGGTATAATTATCGATTTGGATGGACAGAGCTTGTAAGGACACATAACAGAGTAATGAAACATGCCTATTGGAAATAAGTAGGAAGGACAATGTCAGATTGAGTCCCATAAATGAATGATAAAGTGTGTGGCAGTATTACATGCTGGCTATAAACTGTGTGAACATAATAAAAGTAATGAGTGCTCATCCAACTGGCACCCAACTGGTAAGCTCATTGCAGACAACATGGAAAGCCAACAGATCTTCCCATCACTAGTTATCTGCTCTTGGGGTCTGTGCAGGGCTTAGTTTGCAGCAAACAGACAGGTAAACCTGGGATAGGTGGCATTATCACTGCAGGAAGCATAACCTTCATGAACAAAATCGTTTTATTCAGCCTGGAAACAAATTTAAAATGATTGGTTCTATGAAGCTCGCCCCATAAAAGTCACTTTTACCTCAGTCAGAATTTAAACATCTCCAATTCTCTAGTCAAATAGAATACAGCCCCCCTTCACCCTCTCTCTCGTCACAGCAGGGGTGGAGAGAGCCTGATGCATTGCATAGGGGAAGGGGTTAAAGGTCTGGAGGCGGGACTTGCTGGGTTTGGCTTTCAACTCTGCTCTGTCACCTGTCTAGTCTTTCACAGTTTTTTCTTTTTTCACCTGATGGTTGATTTGTTTTATTCGTTCATATTTTGGTGGGTTAGAATAGTATACACTGTGAATACTGTAATGACTAAAGTATATGATATTACAGAGGGCTTTACAGGGGATCTGATCTAAATAATAATCTTAACTGGTTTAACCTACCAAATTCTGAGCATACCCCAAGATTAGGATCTGTGTGTTTTCTACTCTGTTATGGCCAAGTCTGTCCTATGCTAAATACTAAATAATTAGTTGCTAAGCAACTGCATTTTCTAATTGCTGAATTTGCTTTAAAACTGTTTTCTTTTTCAAAGAAAACCAGATCCCCTGCACCAGTTTTTATGGTGCTTGTCACAGAGTTTCCCTGATAATCACTAGGAAAGAGATTAGTGATAGTTGTTTGTGCTTCAGCTGTCTGTCTTCTAACTGTTAGTACTTAAGTGCAAATTGATAACTACACACTTAGGTTCAAACAAAAGCACATTCACATTTCAGTTGTAAAACATTTGGTGAAATAATTACAAGTTAGACCCTTGTTAAAATCACAACTAGAAATAAATTTTAGATATGACACAGAGGGAATAGGCTAGGCCCTTAGATTTTCTTTTGCAGATGTCTCAGATAATTTTTAAGGAAATTATGTTTAGATCTGTTAACTCATATTAAACGTATATACAGACAGTTTCTGGTATTGAACATCCAGTTATTAGCAATATATCATACAGCTTTGTTTATTTACTAATTCTGCAATTAATTTGGCTTTTAAAATACCCTTTCTACTTTTAAAAAGATCTATTTTATTTTCCTGTGTGTGTGTGTGTGTGTGTGTGTCTATGGAAGTAGGTAAGCATGGCACCAGTGTCCAGAAGGCCATTGTCACTGGATTCCCTTGAAGCTGGAGTTACAGATGATTGTGAGCCATCTTACATGGATGTTTAAAATCAAACTCAGGTTTCTTACAGAGCAGTATAAACTGTGAGCCATTGAACCATCTCTCCAACCAAAATAATACAGAATGATAAAAATTGTTTTTTCAACAAGTGAGTGGGATTATAACAAATGTCCTCATATATAATCCTATTCACATAATCATAGATGTCAAGGTCATAAAAGCAGTCACATGTACCTATTTTATTTGCTAGTACCCCAGGAAGCCACATTTAATGCTAGATAATCATGCATTAAACAACTGGGTGATCTCTACATTGATACCTCTATGTTCATGCTATTCTTTTGGTGATGGATGTGTCTGAGGGATTGCTCTTCTTATAATGTATGGAAATGGTAGGAAATCAGATCTAACAGTCTAACGAATATCCTAAAAGAAGCACATTAATAGAAACTATAGCCTATAGAACTCAATTCAAATTCATAGAAATGGAAGGATGGATAATATGACCATTGAAGCTGTCTTAGAAATCATAGTCAAGGTTCCTTTAAAAGCTCATCTAAGATTATGACATTAGTTTATAAAGCAAAAATTGGCAAAAATTAGAGGACCCTCTATGGGCCCAAACTACAAGGCTAGGATGGTGCTTACCAGTACAGTCACCACACGTAGAACCACGCCCCGCATGTTATTCTCCAGTTTCTTGTCAGTCAGTGACCCATTCAGACCCGTGACAGGATTCCAGCACCCAAGCTGAAAGGCAAAGTATCTTTGATCACTTTTCTGACTAAAGAGCAGCCCAGTCACCTCTGTGTAGACCTTGTAGAGAATTGTGTGATACTGCACAGAATAACTAGCATGGAAACCTTATCTCTCTTAATAGCAAATTAAGCAATCAGAAATGCCATCTCCTGCCTTTAAATACCATCATATGGCATATGTCAGAAGCCAGCGTGCTTTACAAGAATCATGGAGGACATCTGAATTAATGAGGAGTCACATAGTCACCAATAGCTCTGTCACTGTAATGTGCTAATTGGATGAATAAAAGTGCATGTAACCCTTGCAGAATTTCTCACTAATATGGCAGTTACTGCAGAAGTTAAATTCTCTCAAAGCCTTAATGCTGTCATTTAATTGTACAATGCCTTTCATGAGGAAAAAGGAGCCTTAAAATATGAACAATGTTTTATATAGATAGAGGAACAACTGCTTTTATGTAGGGGATAGTCACATATAAAGTGTGTGTGTGTGTATGTATGTGTGCCTACATGTGTGCTGTGTGTGTGTGCACGCTTTAAGTGTTCCCAATACATAAAAACAATATAATTTGTTTTTTGGTCAGTGCTGTTACTTTTCTTAGAATATTTTGACAACAATCTTTCCTTGAAAACCATATGCTAATTATTCTTTGATGTTCAAAATGGTGGTTTAATGCCTGCTTGCTCTCATATAGTTATTGCCTCTTGTAGTATCCAAAAACTGACGGCTACCCATATTAAAATTACTGCCTGCAAATGTCAGAGGAATAAAATTTGATGAGTATCAATTAGAATTAAGGAGAAAAGAAAGGAACAACGAGGCTCGCATTAATGAATGGCATGTCAAGAAACGGAACTGCTGAGCGGACAGGGTATGTGCACAGGGGGAATGATGTCAAGGCCCTTAGCCTAGGACTGGCTCCATGAGCCTTCACACTGAGACCTGCTTCGTGAGAGCATGAGGTAAAAATGTAACCAACCTTCAGTCTTATTTGGAAACAGTTTGATTAATTGAGTTATTACAGGGCACCTGGTTACTTGTGCCATTTCCTCCAATGATTTATTTCTTTGTGCTGAGTTTTGTCTGTAGCTTCCAAAGTCATCAACATACTGGCAAGTCTCCCTCACAAACAAACAGCTGAGGGGCTTCTTGCCGAAACTCAAGTGTCTCTTTGAGCTCCCAAAAGGTGTTTAATTAAGAAAACTAAAATGTGTTCAATATATTGTGAGAGACAGAGATGTCACAATATGATCAACAAAGCCAGGGTTTTCTTTATTAAAATAATTTGGAAAAGCCTGATAATTGTTGGTTTCAACTGTAAAAGCACATTCAATTCATGCCATGATATGTCATTCTTAGTTACATAAAAGTCTAATTAGAACTTAGATCCAATTAACAAATCCAAATGTGTTGAAAAGTCTAATTATCGGAGATAGCATAGCCCTCTTGCCAAATTTACGAGCTATGGAAATTCTTTTGAGCTTTTGTTCTTTCCTGAGGTTACTGAGAGTCTATCCTCAATCGCATTGTTTGACAATCGCTTTTCTAATTACAAGAACATTTTATTTTCCTAGACAAAACATTGGTGGGAAATGGCTATAACGGCACTACTGAGGACCGGGATCCATACACACTGATCACCCGAGTCCCCGCTGAACAAGTGGCACAAAAGACATACTTATTAACGGAGAAATGGCCCCGCTGCATCAGCAAAGACAGGAAGTTCTTTTTGCCTCCAGAGGTGTGTTTCAAGTTTGATCAGACTGTGGTCAGTTTGCCCAAGGACCTGATGCCTATGTCACCAATTGACATTGGCCTTCTCTTCTCTGAGCATTTGCTGCTGTGTTAATAATAAGGCTGGTAGAATAATACACAACGTGATCTTTACAGGCTGTGAACCATCGAGTTCCAAATTTCTGAGTTATAACTTCCTTTGAATACAAATAAATACAGACAATATTCTATAAATTACCTTTTTGTTTCTGTTTGTTTGTTTTTCTGTGTAGACTGGCTGGCCTAGAACTCACCTGGTAGACCATGCTGGCCTCCAGCTGAGAGATCTGCCTGCCTCAATATCCCAAGACCTGGGATTAAAGGCATGGGCATCCACTACCTGGTAATATTCTCTAAATTTTAATGCATTCTCTTGTACCTAAATTGGGGGGAAAAAAGCAAGAGAAAAGCAAATTGGGGAGAAACAGTTAAATATCTGTCATCCAGACTTCAGTAGCAGCTTGGAGAGTATTGGCATTATTTGTGTTATGTGATGTCTCTTCTCATTTTGCTTTTTATCTTTCTTGTGGTGTTAAGACTGTCCCAAACATGTACACATTTCCATACAGTTTGTAAGACAACTGGCCTTTTGTGCATGACGGCTTTGAGTGTTCTCTGTTGGGTTTTATTGCGTGACATCTTGCATGCATTTTAACAGTAACACTTGCCAATGTTGTCCTGTCTCTTAATAACCATAGGCTGTATGTTAGAATCAGTAAATCCTTTCTATGTCAGTACTTCTCTTACATGTATGAATATTTCCCAAATAACCACTGTAAACACCAAAATCTAGCATGTTCTGAGAGCAGATATTAGAGGACAGATAGAGATATTTTCTTTTTGGAAAAGTGGGAATAAAATATAATACTGATCACATATCGAAAGGGGAAACAGCAAACCACCAAGAAGTGAAAATAGTAGTTATTTTCTATATAGACAAATTTTAAAAGCATTCTTAAATAATTTCTGAATGTCACTCAGAGAGATGAGTTCTTCATGTAGGATGTTTAAGTGTCACAGCAACTTCATGAGATGGCCTTGTTACCATTTTTCTTACATAGACATCATACCTAAGGTCTCACATAAGGTAAATATATCGACTAAGATACAAAAATAGGATTGCAACTAATTCCACTTAAGTCCATTGTCAGGATTTTAAAATGAATTTTATCTCATGCCTCCTGAAACATTTTTACAGGCATGAACCATTTGAGGTAGTAGGAAATATACTTATATTTTTGTGTTAAGGAAGGTGCATAACTGAAATAGTTTGCTCAACATAGAACTTTCAAGGCAAAATTACAATCATAATTTCATAACATTTACACACTATACAATGTGTCAATTTAGAGTTTTACTTTTGTTAATTCAATTAATTCTCAAGCCATTTGAAGGAAAGGACATCCTTATGACCATTTTGTAGACGAGGGCCTGGGGACATATAGTTTCTCTCTCTCATCATGCTGTTATCATTCCTGTATAGCAGTCAAGATGGGAGTAAGTAGAGAAAGAAGTAGAAAATGAAGTAAACACAAGGTGCTCAAAAAAATTCCAGTGTTCTGTTTTGAGAAATCAACTTAGATAAAAATAAATGACAAACTTAAGTTCCTTTAAGTCATAATGATATGTCCTAAACAGTGTTAGTGGACAGGGAAGTAAATGACAGCAGCACATGGGGACAATGTTGAGCTTTCCTGTCTTACAGATGAATTCCTCAAGTATTAAGATCTCTTGTTTAATGCTCATACACTCTGATCTCCCTGAGGTTCATGTCAAGTTAGTCTTCTTGATTATAACAATTACTTCCAATAATAAGTAACAAAAAATGATGCTCACATAAATGCAAACACAAACACTGACTAAGAGAAGTAGCAGTCCTTGAAGCAGAGCAGGCATGAGAGGCAGAATGTCTGAGAATCTCTGGAGGGACTGTACCCAGGGTCAAGCACAGGGCTTCTCTAGCTACTTTTCTGCTGTCCTCATTTGAAATATCCTTAACTTGGAATCTCTGGCAGTATAGAAGGTTTCTCTCTGGCTGGGGTTTTGCTTTTGTTTCTGGTGTTTTACCTTATTTTCTTTTAAAAGAAACTGTAAAAAAAAATAGTGAAAACACATGCAATCTCACACTCTTTTTTAAATAAAGGATTTAAAAAGATTTTTTATTTTTTTATGTGTGTGCATGCTTGTCTGTGTATGTGTGTCTGTCTGTGCACAAATGAGGGCTGCTGCCCTTGAAGCCTAGAAGAGGGAGCTGGAGCTGGAGTTACATGTGGTTGCAAGCTGTTGATGTAGGTTCTGTAAACCAAACTTCTGTCCCCTGCTAGAGCCTCCAGACTCTTAACTGCTGAGTGTCTATCCAGCTTCACTGCCTCATTCATACTGTCTTCAGCCAAATGAATAAAATATGCTCTCCAAGTAAAAACAGAAAGTGACTTTTGCAGAAAATAAAATTTTCAGAAAGTCTCCCTGTTAGTTAGGAAGAGGACTTACTATCTCAGTACTGGGGAGATGCTTTGGTGGGGAGCAAATGAGTTGGTGCACAAGCATGAGAATTTGAGTTTGAATTCCCTAGCCCCATGTTTTAACTGGGCACAGGAAATGTATACACTTTCATAAGCCCAGTATTAGAGCTCAAGGACATGTTTGTTAACCAGTATATCCACAACATGGAGTCCCAGATACAGCAAGAGACCTGTTTAGAAAAGAATAGCAGTAGACACTTGAATTCTATTTCTGCCCTTTACATGTGTATGCACACATGTGTAAATGCTCTCACACACATACATACACATGCCCATAAACTACACACACACACACACACACACACACACACACACACACACACACGAGTCTCCATTGTCCAGCTCCTGGAAATCTTGATAACATTTGGAAGATCTAAAAAGTAAAGATCAGAAATTCAATATCTTTTCAACAGCAGTATATAGATTTTCTGTATTTTCTGGTTATTGCCTGAAGTCATTTCAGAAACTTTAGAACGCTTAGTGCTCTAATTATTCCCTTCATTGGAGCTTTGGCAATAAGAACCATGTAGTCTCAGCTAAATCAATGGAATAGCTTGTGTTCAACAAACTGGCGGATGCATTTGCATGAGCACAGTAGCGCTCCTGACATTATGCATGCTAACGATCAAGTTTATATATTTACTCTTTTCTCCTCAACGCCTTCACTTTCCATTGGCCACAGGCTGCAAAGGCTGA